GGGGGAGGTGGCCCCAGACGCCGCCTGTCAGGTGGGCGCGGGGCGGCTGAAGGGAGGGAGCGGCCGCGGGAGGCGGATCGAGGCGGCGGGAGGGGAGGAAAAACCACCGCGAGGGACAATAACGGCGCCGGGGCTCGGCCCTGAGGAGGTGTCGGTCCAGCGCCAAGCCTGGCCCAAATCCCGCAGCACAGGCCCTGGTCCTGGAGGTGCTCTGGAGCTCTTGCGGGGATGGGAAGTTGATGGAAGTGAAATATGAAATTAAATAACGCAGGCAGGGCGATATTTCTTTGCCGATTTAACTTGATTACGTGCTCTGTGAACTTCACCCAAACATTGGGGTTTGGATGTTCTGCGTAGTTTTATGTAAAAGTATCTGCAGGGGGGAAGATGAGCCCCCCTCATTGCTCCCACCTGTGGAGCGTGGGCTGGGAATTTCCCATAACCTGAGAACGCTGGCTGAACACTTCTACAGTGCGCTGCCGTTCAGGGGGTGTCAGGAGCCAGATGTAAACCCTTGGTTCCAGCATGAATCTAAAATGAAATGGGGGGTTATTCTGGTTCAGAGAGAAAATGCCCCACAGCTTTTTGCCCGCTTGCCTTCTGAAGCCTCTCCTTACAGCCGTACAGGAGTGTTAAGTCTTAGATCCCAAAGCGCTGTTTGCAACAAGTGGATTCCAGAGTCAGGATAACGTGGTTGTGTGAGATGCTGTGGGAGGTAATCCTAAACCTATCGGCCAGGCAAGTAAGAAACTAAGCCAGCTGTCAAGTGGAAGCACAGGGAAGTAAGAAAGATAATGCAGTGGAGGTCTGAGAGCCGCTGTGAAATCGAAGCCTCGGGGCTTTGCAGTCCTCCTCAATGTTCTTTCCCATGACAAACCAAATGGAGTCCAAGCCTGATCCATGGACTGGGAAGCTCCTTATCCCAGTCCTTTCCTCCTCTTCCCTAAGCTGCCTCTCTCTGTGCTGGCATATCGCAGAGGCTGCCAGCGTTCAGTGGCTGGAGTGAGAGGAGAGGAGAGAGAGAATGATTGTGTGGACAGCCACAGGCCTAAGCTGAACTAAGTTACTTTGGAGAGGGTGAATATTTGGGCTATTAAAAAGGTCAACCCTTTGCTTATAATGTGTTAGTCTTCATTCCGTTGCCTTCTCTCAAGACAGATTTACTTATCTGAGCTGCCAGAGGGCATGCATTTTCTACCTATTTGGAGCTGTCCTGGAAGAGGCAGTGATTTTCCTTCTTAAAGTGTTACACTGGAATGTGAAAGACAGTTGTACTACTCATGCAGATTTTCTTGGAAATGTTCTTTTTTTCCTGAATATTTTTGAGGTTACAATTTGAAGGTTTTGCACATTTGTCTAAGATTTCTGTCCCAGTTTTGCAGCTGGTCTGCACACACGGAGTAATTCCAACACACTTGAGGGAGACATTACTGGGTTTTTTTAAGTGCAGATCACCTGCTTAGGATTTGGGAAATGAGGCCAGGATTTCCAGAACACATCAGACTGAGATCGCGCAGTTTGGAGCACACATATGCTTGGTTCTGACTTGGAAAATACCAGATGGAAATCTGGCAGCTGTAAAGCAGATCAAACAAGGTAATTTAAAATTCCAGTGGCCCTGAGGAGAGATCCTCGGTTCCTCATACCAGGGAAATGTCAAGTAGTCGGTTGTACTGATTTTTATTTCAAAAGTTTCTGTATATATTACCAAGAGTTAATCTGTAAGCTGCTCTGATTTATCTTCTGAATACCATGCAGCATCCAGGCTGTCCTGGATATGTCCTAAGACATATCTTTGGCCAAGATTTTATTTTCCTCAAACTGAGATAGACATTTTCTTTCCTGTGGAGTAAATGCAGAAGGTCTGGTGGTTTGTTCAGTGACTTGTGTTTCAAACATCATTATTTATTAACATTTTCCGTTTCCTTCATAGCTTTCGGATTCAAGTTACACCAGGCCTAAGAAGTACACAGCATAAGGCTGCTTTTTCCTTTGTTGCGTGGGGAGAATTGTAACATAGGCAATTATCCTACAGATTATCTATTTATTTTATGGTTTTTAAGAGTAGCAATCCTCAGCTCTTGCAATTTTGGGGAAAGCTTTAGGAGATTTCAAAGGGTGTGAGCAATCACTCTGGAAAGAAGGGCAAGATCTTCAGCTGCAAACTGGAAGCTACAGGCCACCGCAGCGTTCTCAGGTTACTGGACTGAGTCCTAGACCAGACCAACTCAAAAGCCCTTGTGACTTCTGTTGGCAGCTCACAGCCCAAAGGAACCAATAATTGGCAAAAAGGGATTAGCAAGAGCATGGATGAAGAACCCCATACCCCTTCCCCTGGTCAGAACACTCCGACAGATGAGCGAGGAACCCCTGTGTTGACTTCATTGCCATATTGAAAAGGTCTCTTGACCGGTCCTGCCAGCCGTAAGCCTGATTTGTGCCAGTGATCCAGCAGAAACCACAGCTCAGCTATAGAGCACAGTTCAGGATCTGAGCCAAAAATCTAGGGAAACAGTCACATTTTTACTTAACGCAATAAAGCAAAGCTAGTTACACTAAAGTGCTCAATACTCACTTTAAGGTCAATAGCTGAATGAACAATTCTCACATGACTCTTGGAAGGGTCCTCCTGATTATGAAAAAAATGATGCATCATTTTATGCACAGTGTCAAAGACCTCTTCTGCAAGCAGGAAAAATAGTCCTGTGATGAATAGGCAGATGCTGTTTTATTATTTAAAGGTATATAATATGTATGATACAATCTATTTAAACCATATTCCTGTCAAAACTGCTGCCTTCCTTGCCCAAGGAAGGACAGCTGAGGAAGTATATTTGTGGATATTTGACATGCCTTCATCTGTGTCGTTCTGGAAATGGCATGGAGCAGGATGCTGAGAGCTGCTCAAATTGTGAAGTTGGTGGGGCCAACCAGGGACTTCCAAGAGCAACCTGACCTGGTTCTTTATAAGCAGCTGGCTCCACCAAGGACACCCTTACTATCCAAAAATACACGCTTGTGCTCTGTGGCTCCCCCACAATCTCCA